GGTCGTTGCTCATGCTTACCAGCTTTTCAGCAGCAAGCAGAACAATTCACAACCACAACACCTGACATGCACGTGGGAGTGTTTGGGTAAATTTTATAGTAGCCAAATTCCCCAGCAAGCTGTGGTGCATTGGCTGACTAGCTCTCCTCGAATCCGATTTGAGCCTTCCATCGCTCTGAACCAACGTCACGAAAACAATCCGGCTCAACCACAAAGGGGAGCACGAATGTTGTGCGTAGGCCAGACCGTAGCGCTAGCAAAACACAAACGCTCCTTTCCAGCACGGCCGACATCCAGTGGCATGTGTAGGGGCCTGGTGGGCAGGGAGGAGAGTAGGGGTGTGTGTGGGGGGGGGAGCACGTGCGTGCGCCTGCACGGATGTGTTAGCATGCACGTGGGTGTATGAGTGCTTTGTTGAACTATGATGTTGTTAGCAAAACATAAGCTGAAGCCAGGACCAAGGGGGGATGGGAGAGTGATGGAGGGGGTACGAAAGTCCCTCGCGACCTTGTAGCGTCCGACCCATGGATAGGTTGAGGCAGGGGTGCGTGCCTTGCACGTGGCCTCACAGATGCTTCCCCGCCCAGCACCGGCCAAGCGCCTCACCAATGACGCTGATGCAGACGGGGGCGAGAAGGTCAGCCAGGAAAACCAAGCGGGCATTGTCACAGTGAGCGTGATGGTCATGGCCATCGACAGGGCCGTCGACATCTCTCAAGCACCTTTCGCAAGGGCGGTCAGGAGTGACAAACAGCACATATTGCAGCAACCCTTTCACACGGCACCATGAGGGTGGCACACCAACCGACAGGGTAGGCACGGTGGTCAGCCTCCACAGCCTGTCAACCATGTAAGGCGCCCTCTCAAGCCATGCCTCTGCACCCACCTGCCGGTCGAGGTCGTCGGGACGCTCCCCCTTGTCGGGCTGCGCCTCGCTCTCGGCCAGCTTCTTGGCGGCGGCGTACTCGGGATCGTTGGCCAGCAGCGCAACGGGAACCTCCTTATTGGGCGCGATGTGGTCGTGCCTGAAGTCCTCGGACAGCGTCGCGTGGGCCTACCGCAGCGTTGAGGGTGCCGGGCGGGAAAGGTGCAGGGAGAGACGGCTTCGAGCAGCGGCTTCAAAATCAGGGCCCCAACGAAACAAGCGGGATGGGTTCCCACGGCCGGCCGGCCAATCGAAGCAACATGCGATGGCAACGCAATCACGAAGGATGGCAGCAAGCCTTACACAACAAGGCGCGGCGCCTGCGGTGCAATTCCACCCTGGCGCTCGCCCGAGGGGGCCCGGGCGCCCGTTGTCGCCAGCCTTGGCCCCTCACCCGCAGCCGCAATCATCCCAAGGCCCAAGCCACGACCGAATTCTCAACCCAGTCCTGCAAAACAGCTCGCCTTGGCGAGCAAGGATGCCCCGACCCAAGCCATGGGCCGCTCCGATGGCTGTCACAAGCTTTGTCGCCTTCTTCCTGTGGTGCCAGCCAGAGTCGCCCCTCACTCAAGTCTAAAACAGCGCCAGCTCCTCTAGCGCGTCGTTCGTCGCAAGGTCAGGGTCGTACGACTGAGTTTGCAGCTCGCCATTGTCGCTGTGGTTGCACCACCACTGAAGCGCCAGGACAGGCAGAGCAATTTGGGCGCGAGAGGGGGTGGGGCGGCGGTCATGTGCGCTTGCGTGTGAGCACAATGGGTGTCGGTGTCACCGAATTGGCAGCATGAAGCACAATTTATAATCAGCCCCCGCATTTGCGCCAGCCACCGCAGCCGGCCGTTGCCGGCAGCATGCACAGTTGCATGATCCGCAGCGGAGGATGCACCCACTGTCACCCCGGCACCCACCTCCCACTTGCGCCGCTGGCTGGCAAATGTTCCCCACGCCCATGGCTTCTTGACCATATGGCTCGCGCAATCAAGCTCCACGCGCATCTTGTTGGTGAGGCTACGCGCGTTGAAGGGGATAGGGAATGAAAACGATGCAGTTGGTGCACGCGCATGGCGGGATGCGCAATGCTGCAAGGACCTGAGTGCTCACCGCGTGGCCATCACCACCGCCCCAGAGCAATTGCACTCAACATGCGCAGTGACGAAGGGTGCTGCACAGTCACGTCTTTTATTTGCCAGCAGCGATGAGGAA